CATGCATGCATGCATGCACACATACAACATAAGTACATACATCCGTACATACATGCATAAATATAAATATAAATATTTATATATATACATATAGATAGGTTATTGTGTACCGTAGTTAAACCGTAGAAGACCCAACAATCTGTGTCCCGAACCCTAAACCCCTAAACCCGAGACCCTAAACCCTAAACGCCCTAAACTCTAAGCCCTTTATAAGCCCTAGAGCCTAAACCCTATAAGCCCTATAAGCCCTATAAACCCTGTAAGCCCCATAAACCCAACAAACCCTGAACCCCAAAAGCCGGAGGCAGAATGTGGACTTTACAAGGCTGTATAGGGTCTCGTAGAGTTTTATGGGGTGCAGGGTTTAGAGTTTAAGGACTTAGGGTTTAGAGTTGAAGGACTTACGGTTCCTGGGCTTAGGGTTTACGAGGTGCTGTTGAGCTGCCCGGTGCCCCTTCGGGTCGAGGTTTGGCGCTTCAGGTTTAGGGTGCAGAAGTCTACCAAGCGCGCCCTAAACCCTAAACCCTAAACCCTAAACCCTGAAGGTCTGACTGGTTTAAGCGAAGTTTCTGGCAACTTCAGGTTTTTTTCCGGTTTTTCACACCCGTAACCGAATGGAGCAGGCATCGACCCATACGACAAGAACCTAAGCCCAATGTTTGGGCCTTGTTGACTAGAACAGCATTATGCTGATTGTTCCATACTCCATACTCCAAGATATACAGGGACTATGAGGGAAAACTGCTTCTGACTATAATTCGACACAGTTCACAATTATTCAGGCTTCGCACGGGCCAGGACATTGAGGGTCCCTCAAGGCAGTAGGGGTTGAGAGGGATCGAGGGAAGAGGGGTATAGTGGACTCGCCTATTTCAGCGTTCTCAGCAAGAATTCAGGGCTTTGGGCCAAAGGTCCGGTTCAGCCCTAAACCCTAAACCCTAAACCCTAAACCCTTCTTGTAGAAGACTTGTACTAAAGCAAGCGTCTTGCGCGGACACTTCCCCTCCCCCCCGGTGTTCTGAGATGGAGATTTGGGGATTTCCGAAAATAGGGGACCCTAATATGGTACCCTAAATAGTAGGATCCTTATTATAAGGACCCCAAAATAGGGTACCCTAATTTTCGGAAACTCCCATTTCTGCTTGGGATCTAGTCAAAGCAAGGAACATCCGCCTGATCGTTTAGGATGCAGCGTTTTGTGTTTCAGGGGCCGAGAGCTCAGATAATGTAGCATAACATACTAAAGTATGCTGTAATAATAGGGTATAATATAGTATATTACGGTAAAATTCAGTGCCATGTAAGATATGATATAGTACAGTACAATATAAAGTATAAGGTAGTTCAACATAGCAGAAGCTGGTATAACATCGTATGTTTCAATACAGTCCAATACGGTACAGTAGAGTATAATACGTATAATGTAGTATGGTATAGTGTAATATAGTTTAGGATAGGATAGTATAAAATACCATAGTAGTACAGTACAGTATAGTATAATTTCGCATAGTTTCGTATAGCTTCGTATAAAGAGTAGAGAGTAGAGTATACAGTATAGCATATAGAGTTAGTATCAAACCCAGATCCCATCTTGGCCAAGGAAAAAGCTGTTGGTCATTGGTGGCTTCCACGAGGTACTTTGGAGGGATGGGTTTGGGTTTGGGACCTCAGGTGCCCGTATTGATCTGGACTACGTTGACACGGTTATGAACCGTAGCAAGGAAGTGACGCAGTGGAAACCCCAAACCGTTAGGACCTTGCGATCTTGGACTTGGGGGTTCAGGTGTTGGGTTTTCAGTTCAAGGATTAACTAAGTTTTGATACTAAGTTTTGAATCTCCAACATGAGGGTTCCAGGTTGAAGGCCGTACGTCGGGCTTCCACAGCTTTGTTCCTTCTCTGTTCCCCCTGGAGAATTTCGACCACTTTGAACCCGAAACCTCTGTGACCCTCGCAGCGAAGAGCCTTAAAGTATAGGGCTTTCCAAGAAGAGTTCACTCCTGTAGCGCCGCAGCCCAGAGGTCCTCACGTCACCCTCAGTTTCTGCGTCTTGGCAGGTGATCATACCACTGCCCACAGCGCCGACGGACTGGCCAGAGTCATTCTTCTTCCCGAATGCCTCTGGGAACTTCTGGTGCGATTTCAGTAGGAGTCGGGCTCGTCGTTGCAGTCGTCCTGGTCCTCTTCGTCAGCGGTCAGTTAGTAGAGGGACAAGGATGAAAGGTTGACGAGGAACGACAGGAACCCGGATGGGGGAGCAGGAATCAGTAGGAAAAGACAAGGACGCAGTGCCCTTCCCGGGCATCGTCTACACTCTTTGGCTTTGGGGTCGTGAGTCATGAGGGTGTGTAATTCACTGTTTCGGGAAACCTACACGCATCCAGGGTTGTATTGTGCATGGCACGCGTGTGGGAGCTTGAGTTGCTGGACTCTAGGAAGCCCAAAAATCCGAAGTCACACGATCTCGCTGAGTTCTTCTTCGTGCCCGACACACCAGCTGATGCGGTGCCAAGCTCGCTGAAATCCTTTCTGGCGCAAGCTGGGTCCAGGACAGGTGCAGCAAGTCCTGGCTAAAATTCTTGCCGTTGTGAACTCTTCAGTGCATTTAGGCTGCTTGTTGTTGTTGGGCATGCAAGCGTATCTCAGAGTTCGAACCGTTACGAGGCCTTGGGGCTTGACCGGAGATTCGCCGCCGAAAGCTCTGGTCACTAGTGCAGGACCTCAGCCCTCCCTCACTCGGCAAATCTCCCGCCTTTCCTGAAAGCCACCAGCAAAAACTCTCGATTCAACAAGGCTTCCCAAACTCAAGCTGTCCTGCAGAAACTGGATCACAAGCGCTATTTTTATAATCGTCGTTCACTCTACTATAGTATACTATGCGATACTATACTGTACTAATACTAACACTAATGCTAATACTAATACTATTACTATTGCTAATACTGATACTGGTACTGATACTAATACTGGTACTAACACAAAAAACAAATTCTAATACTGATACTAATGCTAATGCTAGTACTAATACTTATACAAATACTAGTACCAATACAAATACTAGTACTATACTATGCTATGGTATACCCTCCACTATACTACACTAAACTCCATTAGACACTCTACTGTATTGTACTGTACTATACTCTGTACTCTACTCTTGTATACTATACTATACTATGCTATACTATACTATACTATACTCTACTATACCATACTATACTATACTATACTATACTATACTATACTATACTATACTCTACTCTATACTCTACTCTATACTATACTCTATACTATACTTTATACTATACTATATACTATACTATACTATACTATACTATACTATACTATACTATACTATACTATACTATACTATACTATACTATACCACAGTATACTCTACTACGCTGTATCAGTATCAGAACAATAGGGAGAGTCTCCCCCCAAAGTCGCACTAGGCCGGTCGTGTACCTGGGGCTGGGCTCCATGCCTGCGCCAAGGCCGACATGAGTTCCCGTTTGTTTGTTTGAGATGCCAGCAGTGGCAGGGTTTTACAATTAACTTAGCTTCGGGTTCAGAGTTCAGGGTCTGGGGTTCAGAGTTCGGGGTTTAGAGCTTAGGCAAACTAAGGCGGTGGTGATGCTTTCAGCATGCTTTTGCAAAGTTCAATCTAACCAAGCAGGGAGAGCGCGTGTGAGCCGGTTTGAAGCTTTCCAGGTCTGTTGGGTCTAAGGGAATTGGCCCACCCGGAGCCCACTACTGTAGGGGCCTTAATACTTGCCAATACTATTTTGGGGGTTACTTAGTATATTTATAGTATATTGGGCACCAAAACACAATTGAAATTCTGACGGCCCCTATATTACCCTGTAGCAACCTGTAGGACAGGACTGTTGGCCTTGGGCGGGACTTGGAGTATCCGAGCAGCCTCTTAAACAAAGCCTAAGCCTTAAATCCCTAACCGTTACCCCGAAACCCTAAACCCTAAATCCCTAACCCTTAACCCGAAACCCTAAACCCTAAATCACTTTAACCCTAAACCTTAAACCCTAAATCCCTAACCCTTAACCCCAAACCCTAAACCCTAAATCCCTAACCCTTAACCCTAAGCCCTAAACCCTAAATCCCTAACCCTTAACCTTAAACCCTAAATCCCTAACCCTTTAATCAATCGCAGAGGCCGCAGGAGCTTGTTTCCCTAGCGGAGGCCATCGTCGAGAAGCTCGAGGCAAAGTCCACGGTTTCGGGTTTAGGGTTTCCAAAGTTCTGGGCTCACTGTTTAGGGTGTTTCTGCGGCTAGGGCCGCGGGCTGTAGGCTCAGCGGCCGCTGGAGGGTTCGGCATCTTGTTATCGGCTTCTGCGGTTTGCCAAGAGTTCAAGATTTGCTATTTGGCCGGGTCCATGGTGGTGGTGTTTTCGATAGTTATGTGGGACTTTCCGAAAAGTAGGGGTAGCTCATTTTGGGGTCCTTATAATCAGGATCCTACTATTTGGGGTACTATATTAGGGTCCCCTATTTTCGGAAACCCCCATGTCTGTCTGCTCTTGCGATGCTCAGCCTTTCGTACTCGCGGTCTGACCACACGAGTTCATGGGTGTCGGTTCGGGAAATACCGGACCGCGTGGGGCGCACTGCACAAAACGTGGCGGCTGAGACATCCGTCAGAGCCGGGAGGTGGTGGGGCATGGTGCAGTTGTGGAAGGATGAGTAACAAAGACGGCAACGATTCTCAAATCCGTTTTCATACAACCGTTCCCTCACAGCCTTCCTATTTCAAAGCGGGATCCTTACGTCTCTGCGCATCTTGCTGTCTTAAGTAACTTATATCTCGCATACATCTTGCTTTCGGAAGACGAAACTTCTGCTCATCCACCAGTTTATAAACAAGGCCAGTGTGCCATCAAGTGCCCCCAAGTAATTACTGGGACAATATTATGAGCCTCGTGAGCTTCGAAATACTCTTCATCGATAGTGATGGTGCGTATATCGTAGTTGTCATTTCCAGTGCATTGTACCGCAGAACTTCCTGGATTCATTTACTACGACTACTTGGAGGTTCATGGGTAGTTACAAGTGGGGTAATAAGTCCCCCTACTTTTAGCCCCACTTATGAACCTTCCCAAACCCTAAACCGTAAAAAACCTTATAGAACCCTTAAACGAGCCCTACTCATAACCCGCACATCCAGCTTCTTGTTAAAGGCGTCCTTGTGCGACTGTCTTGCTTCGGAGGTCTCGGCAGTTCTTTGTGCAGGCTGGTCTGACATCTCCTTCAAGTCCCAGGACCTAAAAAACTCCCAACTCTGAGAACGGGGGTACCTTGTTTAGGGGTCCTCAGAATAGATATCTTATCGTATCCTTTGGCGTTGGTTTTTGAGCTTCCCTTGTCTTCTGAGACTCCCGAATTCTTCCACCTCAGAGTGCGATGGTACTGTAGAAGCCTGATGAATAAGGAACACTATTCCTTAGGGTTCCTTTTTATAACCATAGTATAACAACCTCCTATATCACACCACCACGGTTTTGCAAGGGTCTACAGGCTTACGCGGTTTTGGATACTTTCAGCCAGTGTTTGGGTTTAAGGTTCAGAGTCCAGTGCGGAAAGGTTTCACACACAGGAACTGAGGTAGCAACTGAGAGTTTTGGCCCCTCAACCCGGAGACCATGGTGCGTAGTTCGACATTAGGGTTCAGGGTTTACGAGACTTGTCCAAACGCCCTAAATCCTAAGCCAAATTGATGTCTGATTCTGTGCCTTGGTTGTGCTTGCAAAATCAATAATAGTTAGTGATAATAATGATGAGCATCCGAATGTCAGTGTTATAACTTTATAACATCAATTTTGCAGGTAATCACACTATTATCATTGTTAGTACGAAATTAGTGTTACCATTACTACTACTTGCCTAAACTCTTTCAGCTGCACGTCCCCAGACATATAGACTGCAGAGAGGATACGGAGCAGCGGATTCTGGTCACGAAGTCGGCGCCCCACGACTTCCTGCTGCCGCGCTGCCGCGTGCTGCTGCATCACGCCGGCGCGGGCACCTGCGCCGCTGCCCTCCGCGCGGGAGTGCCCAGCGTGCAGCCTGTCATTGAAGAGACCACAAGCTTTCCGAGCAGAGACCCATGGGGTTTCGGCAGTACCTGTACTTGATAAAAGCCGAATTCAGGCACTTCAATGCTGGGCAACAGTACCCTCCAGTATGTGTGTGTATACATACACGGAACATATTGCTGGGTTTAAGGTTGAGCTCAGTGACCGTTGGAGTTAGCTCTACATCTGTAAGAAGGAACCGAAGCTCCAGGTAAATGCTACATCGCAGTATCTTCATTCGTACGTAGCCACAAGGCTATAGTATCAAGAGCAGAAAGATGGACAGCGGCAGCCAGACTCCTCACGTACCAACAACTCGAGCCACTGGCAAGTTCTGCTGATGTCAAATTTTGAAATTGTTCTGACTCTCAGTCTTGGTGTACTACAAGGTCTCGGTAATGCTGTGCTCGCTTGTATTGCGATGCATTGTTGCGATAGTGGGCATTACCATTACCACTGCTTTCTCCGCAGTGTCAAGCAGCAGCAATAATTACCGTCCGGGTCATGCCATACAGCAGCCCCCTGTTCGATGGTGCGCTTCCCCGGGTCATGCAGCCTTTGGCCTTGCCCTCCTTCCGCCCCTTGTCGCCACCTTCGGGGTCAGCAGGCGTTGTTGAGCAATCACTAACTGTAGCAGCAATTCTCCCTGTCACAGTGTTAGCAATCATGATTTTCCATGGTAAAGAGTAAACGCAACAACATTAGCATAATCTTGAACGAACCAAGGACAGTATTTTTCAATAATTGGTTTTGCTTGCTGCCCTTATGTGCACCATGCTATTTATGGTTATGAATCGTGTCTGCGACTTAGGTTCCGATAGCATGCGCGAGTAGTATTCTGAAGGGAACAGTGTCTTTTGGTCGTGGTATGTTACGGTTATGATTCTGATGAAACCTTCTGTTCTTACGCCTCCGTCTCAAAGGTCTTTCGAAGTTGACCCTGCGTAAATTTGGAGAAGTCTTGGATTCTTTTTGACTGGCTAGTGTAGGAATGCTTCGACTACGAGTCACTGCGCTCCGAGGTGCCTGCCAGTGATGCTTGATCAACCCAACAATGCCAAGAACCTCACTCGCCTGGGAGTGGCTACACCGCCGATTCTTTTCCAAGATGTAGCAGCTGGCGTGGACCGCGTGGTGGAGTCGGTGGGACCTTTGGGTTTTTTCTGGCTCTTGGGTGTTGTGGCTTTCGGTCCCAGACTTACGTTTCAAACTGGCAACTTCGTGTATGACTGGGTCAGATTCGCCGCCGTAACGTGCTTTCGGAAGCAGTGTACTCTTCAAGTTGCATGCGTAAAGCACTTCCTTGCTGTGCTTGCAGGTGTACCCTAATCACACAGCCGTTGCCGTCCTCATCCGCGCCGTGGTAATCCGAGGTCCTCGTCGTCGTAGAAGTAGTAGTCGTCCTAGTAGTCGCAGTAGTCGTAGTAGTCGTAGCAGGTCGTTGTAGGTCGTCGTCTTAGCAGTGGTAGTGGTAGCCGTGAATCGTGGTAGTCGTGAAAGTATATTATAGTAGTAGCAGCAGCAGCAGCAGCAGCAGTAGTAGTATCAGCAGTGGTATCAGCAGTAGTAGCAGTAGAAGTAGAAGAAGTAGTAGGAGTAGGAGTAGCAGTAGAGTGGCAGTAGCGGTAGCAGTCGCAGCAGCAGCAGCAGCAGCAGCAGCAGCAGCAGCAGCAGCAGCAGCAGCAGCAGCAGCAGCAGGAGTAGTAGTAGTAGTAGTAGTAGTAGTAGTAGTAGTAGTAGTAGTAGAGCACTAGCAGGAGCAGCAGCAGCACCAGGAGCAGCCGGTATAAATAGAAGGGGCAGGAGCCAGCAGCAGCAAGCAATATCAGTGGCATAGGTATAGAATTAGCAGCAACATCGGTAGCAGGAGCAGACTTAGTGTCACCACCAATATCGTAAACCTTAACGAGTGCATGTAGAAAAGCCTTACACTAGCAAGCCGAATTTTCGTCACGATGACATCGTGTACAGATGTTAACGAGCAGCATTAGCATGGTAACAGTTCGCAAGCACACGCAGCATCAATCACAAAATTGAATGACTTCGAGACGACGGCGAGTAAAGTTGACGGGTGCACGATGGAGGGCATTGGGTAGCCCCAACTCCTTTACGGCAATTCCTGAGCCCTCACAACTCGCTTGCTGCCCAAAGCCCCAAACCCAGAAAACGAGCAGGTGAAGACAGCTCTGGAGTCCTCTGAGATGCGTGCAAAAGCGGAGGCACTTGCAGGCCCCGCAGATTCGAGCTGTGCTTGCTGTGGGTGGTTTGGGCTCTGTGAGTTGAGTGCTTGAAAGTTTGGCATGTGCGAAACCTCAAGCCGCCGCCTCTTAGAACCCAAAGACAGCCTAAATGAACCCTAGATCCTAATTCGGTTCCAGTATACTACCCTTCAACTTAACAACAATTGTCGGGCATCTTGCGTGATGGGCGGTTGACAGCCGTTGTTTGAGCGGTTCTTGCACTCGCAACAGCCCTATTCACGTTTGGGCATACAGCATTGTTCTGCCGCACTTCCAGATGCCAACGGACAGCCGATCGCCGCAAAGACTAAGCATTGTGTGTGCATGGCTCGAACGTGACATGGAACCATGGACGCTAGATCGAGCTCCCAGGACTCTAAGGCCACCGGCGAATTCTGGCCCAGCACAGAATCCACGCCGGAATAGCCAGATGCCAACCCTTAAACCCTACACACCCATCGCCACCTGAAGCCTCAACTTCTTCAACATAGAAGCCCAAGCCTAAGCCTTAAAGTCCCGGAACCCTGAAGCCCAAACCCCAAGTCCAGTCGAACCCTGAAGCCCAAGCCCCAGAAACCTCAGAGAACCCTTATAGAACCCTTCTGCACATCCCACGTCGAACCCTGCATAGAGCCCTTATAGAACCCTGTATAGAACCATGACATTTCAGAGCCTTCTAGAGCCACCATCGCTTTCAGAGGCCGCATCCGAGAGAGCGACGGCGTCTCGAGGGCCATTGACAGGATCCTTCAGGTCTACCCGGAGGGCCGACTCCCCTAAGACAGGTCTGCAATGAAGTTGGGCAGTTGAGATGTTAAGGGCATTTTCTGCGTTTTTGGGTACATACCGTAGGACATACGGTAGGGTAAGGGTTTAGGTAAGGATAGGTATCAGTGGTAGCCCTGAGCCCGAAACTGCTCGTCTCAAGCTACAGTGGAGTCGAGCATTCGGGTTTCAAAAGTTTAAGTCGTAGGATTACGTTTTGGGATTATTGAGCTTCTGGCGTGTCGTCGCTGAAGTTGACAAAAAGCTGCGTTACCGGGTGACTTGCACGGGTGCAACTTCGGTAAATAAGCCAAGCTGCAATGGAAAGCACCAACGCCACACCACCCAAAGTCGGAACCGTGCGTCTTGATACCAATTCGAGCCTGAACCTCCCCGAACGTCTAGAGACTGAAGAAGTGTCCGAATTCTTGAACACCTTATGGGCCCGAAAGCGAGGTTCTACAGGTTGCAGCTGAAGATTTTTAATGCACTTGAGACGGTACTTGGAGGTTCATGGGTAATTATAAATGGGGTTATAAGTAGGGTAACTTAATTATAACCCATATTAGGGGATTTGTAACCCTACTTATAACTACCCATGAACCTCCAAGTAGATAGACTTCATCCTAAGGCATGCCGTAAGACCGCCGAAGATTTTAGCTCCAACGAACCATGCCGGCGCAACCCACGAAACGTCTAAGGAATATAGCATGCTTTGTGACTTGCGAATCATACTCATGATGCTAAAGCAGGAATTGTGAGCCTCTTTGCAATGTTTCCGAACATGGTCCCATATGATACAAGGTGACCATCAGAATGACGGCGCGCTGGGCACGACGATGATGGATGAGGCTGACAGTGAGGGTGACGATGAGGATGGCAACGACGATGATGATGATGATGATGGTGACGATGATGCTGCTGATGATAGTGACTATGCCGGTGATGATAGCTACGATCATGGCACATACAAAGTCACCGCAAATGTTATCGCTGAACTCCAAAGTGACTGATGTAGGGGCCTATTATGATTAGAGTATAGTATACCCNNCCCCCCCCCAAACCCTATTCTACTTATTGAGGCCCCTTTGCTCAGTGGGGTGCAGAGGTTTCGGAGTGCCGAGGCCCGTTCCCTTCGACTTCCTGGTGGAGGGCGAGTTCCTGCGCTCCAGCATCTCCAGCTACCTGGAGGACCCCAGCGGCAAATCTTCTGGGTCGGGTCGAGCATGCCACGGTTTAGGGTTTAGGGTTTAGGGTTTAGGGTTTAGGGTTTAGGGTGGGGGAAGAGACCGAGCCCTACACACACAGTTTCCGGTCTGACTGCAGCCCAGTTAATCACAATCAGATGGATAGGGCCCCTTCTGTTGTGATCGTCATCAACTGTTGGTAGGCTGAGGCGGACTGTAGCAGCCTGAAAAGGTAGGACAGGCACCCAACTGTTTTCGGGCGGACGTCAATGTTGAACAGCCCGGAACGAGGGCTTCGTTTGCAAGAATTAGGTTGTTTCCAGGGATGCCGAGCCATGTGCACGTTGGTTGCAGCCTTGGATGCGGATTCCTCCTGCCAATACTACGGTTAAACTCGAACACTGCATCCCAACCTCTCAGCTTGTGCCCTAAACCCTAAACTTAAGTTCCAACTCCTCCACAGCCGCGTAATCAACAAGTCGCACTCTCGACAGACTGCTGCAGCAACAGGCGCACAAGCTGTCCTCGGAGAAAGTGCTGAAGCTGGAGTTTGTGCCAGGGCCCACGATCGTTTTCGCACAGATGTGTTACCGGGATAAAGCACTCAGCTTAAGTTGCAGGTTGAGTACAGGAAAGAAAGAAACAGACCGGTGCGGCTGCAACTGCTGCTGCTGAAACCTTGTTTGCCATGCAATTGCCGCTTCAGTAGTGCCGCAGGCGCAGACAGCAAAAAGTCATGCTGGATTGAGATGGGGGTTTCCGAAAATAGGGGACCCTAATATAGTACCCCAAATAATAGGATCCTTATTATAAGGACCCCAAAATAAGGTACCCCTATTTTTCGGAAACTCCCAGATGAATCCTTTCGAAAGGCAGAGCACTGACACCACAGCCGTGCAAAGGTTGATGCATCAATATAGTGGTCTGAACAGCTAGCAATATCCCCTTACAGTCTCTAAGACCACAAACACAGGGGTAGTTTTTGTAAAATAGGGTCCCTTTGGGAGTCCTTTTTATAAGGGATGCCGTACCATATTGGGGACCTACAAAGGGACGCTAGTTAAGAGAACTAACCACATGGCTGTAAGGCGGACCTGAAGGCGAACGGATTCAGAATCGCAAGTTACAGAAGCCTGAATAATTACCAACATTAGTCCTTAGGGTTCTAACTATTCAGGCCCCTATAATACAAGACGAGGGGCCGGGTCATCGGCCCTTTTGAAAGTCAGCTCGCGCACTTCTCTTCTTCTTGCTCGCGTTCTTTCTGCTGATAGCCTGCCCCTATACATATGTACGAGAATACTCCCTATCAAATGTTAAAGCCCCTTTTTTGCAGTGATTCAGTGATTCAGTGAAGACACCCCTTCTGCTGCCTCAGGCTCGCACTGCGTGAGCCAGAGCAGTCGACTGTCGACGAGGCGCTCACACACATACAGACATACAGACCTTTCATATATGCATAAATGTACCCTTCTGTATTTTTTTGTATTGCCATCGTTATGACCATCATATTGTACACTGTGAATACTACCACTGTTCTGATTTCGACTTATCATGATGGCTATGAGGATGAGAGGATGTTTATGAAGATAATGGTGTTTATGATGATTTTGATGGTTATGAAGACCGTGACGATGTTGATGGTGTGTTGATTATGATTATTTTAAACGCTTCGCGTCGTCCGCCTCGGCCCGGCCGCAAACAAAGAGGGCCAACGAACTGCTGGTGCCTTGAAGGCGCCGTTGGCGGAGCGGACGAGGACCGGGGAAGGGGAGGAGATTGCGTACAAACAACCAGAGGCCTTTGCTGGGTTTTGGGTTTGCGGAAGCGGGGTGCGCGCAAGGGGCTGGCGGTGGGTGGGAATCCCACCAAATCCATT